CTCTGTGGCAAGAGGAAGTTTCCCAGGAAGTCAAAGACCAAGTTGAGTAATGAGGAGGAAGAGGAGGGACGGAACAACAGCCGGAAAGTTGAGCTTGGCTTCTCTGGCAAGGGCAGGCACCCAACCTTCTCAAGGTCTTTGAGCTTCAGAGCAACAAACCGAAGACAAATTTAAGTCCGTGACTTGCGGAGCTGAACTCAAACCTCCCCTTGGACACAATYCATTCAGGGGAAGGGATGGACCTGCTGCTACTTCCAGCTGAGAGATCTTAACTGTGGATGTAGTTGGGKTTGCAGAGAAAGAGGAAGACTCCAGCCTAGATGGCCTTCCAGAAGCTTACAGAAGCCACCTCCAGCTCCAGCTCTGCTTATTTCCTCCCTTTCATTTCCTTGGCACCTACAATCCTGTTTCGCACAGGATGGATGAGGCTGGCCCCCAGGAATCCTGGTTGCCCAGTTTCTCCTTGGAGATGATCAGACAGCTCCATGTGGGGATCCAGCGACCACACTGGCTTTTGCCAATGCATGCCCAGGAGCCACCCAATGAAAATGACATTTTTTTTCCCTTCTAACAACCAGCACAACAAAGCTAATGCTGGATCAAGGCGGTAGCCTGTTCTGCTTTTTTTTTAAATTTAGAGTAGCTGCATGCAGACAAGAGCAAATATTGACTTTGCACCAGAGTGACCCATTGACTAAAGGGGCAAAGGCGCTTGAGCCGTGATGATCACCCAGGTACTTGCAGAGCACAAGGCCGTGTGTGAATCAACCGTGATGGGGAACAGGGTCAAACCCTTGCACCCCCAAAGACCATGACTTTTAGTTTCACGAGGACATATRGGTGACACGCGGGTCAGGACCCCCAGGTTCCCGTTCCAAGCACAGGATCTTTGCAGGATCCCTTTGCAACTGCACTCAGACAAGCCTGATTTTAACACTTAATGGCAGAGTTCTCCTCTTCTCCTACATACTCTGAAAAGCCTAGCAGTCCAGGATCATGAACAGCTGCAGATTAGTCCTATCTTAACTGCAATGCCT